AGTAATAAGACATACCCCCTATATTATTTAATAATTTTTTTAAATAAATAAATTAGTTAGCTTAAATTATATAAATAATTTAATACAGACATCATATAACTTACACCCTGAATTATTATTAATTATTAATTAGTTAGATATAAAGATAATATAAAAGTATTTACTGTAAAACTATATATATTACTTACAATCTAGTTATTTAAATTAAAAATATAATTAGTTGAATTATATAAATTATTAAACAAATAAATATAATATATATATTGTAACTTACCATCTGTAATATAATTAATCATTAAATAGTTATTTAAACAGAGAATTTAGTTATTTGAATGTTATGTAGAGTAAATAAAGTAAAGGACTAAAGATTTAAATAACTGATAACTTACCAACTACATTATTATTAATCATTAAATAAATTATTTAGTTATATAGAATACATTAAAAATAATGAGTAATTTATTATATTAACTTACAAGCTAAATATTTAATATAATTTTATATAATATAGTTAGTCTAAATTATATTTGTAGTATTTGAATTGCTTATAAATAAAAACATAATCCTTCATCTTGTTTGATGTACCTTTAGATTCCTTGATATCACATTCTTCAAATTTGGTTTAATTATATTTGATTATTTACAATTAAGTTTTTTTAATAAATAAAAATCTTAATATTTCAACTTTGTTTTGTATATTATATTTACCTTCAGGTTCTTTGGTATCACACAAAACTATTTTTATTATGTTGCAAGTTTGTTTAAAAATTTTGAATAATTCTAATTTTAAATATATTATTATTCATGTTATATGCTTTACCTTTACTGTCCATTGCTATATCAAATTCTCCCTAATTGGAAAAGATAAAGTATTACTTTTTTTCTTTTTTTTTTATTATTAAACACCTTTATTCGTATAAATAAATACGGTAACAATATTTATGCAAAATGCATTATGTGCAAAAGCGTTGATCACAAGTACAAACATTGCATCATTGCATATCAGATATATGATAAACAAATTTTGCACAACTGGAATGTATATCAATTATTCCAAAATCGCAGTAACTGGTTAATCATTTCGTCTTAGGTAATTATTAAGCACTAATGAAATGATTATCATTCATTTTTATATAAAACTAGGATTCACCTGTTAACTAAGTTAACAGTTAGTGTTTAAAATATATTGTTAAATTAACGAAAGAAATGGCCGATGAGGGAAAAAAATATAAGGTAAAAAATTTTTTAAATAATGGAGGATTAAAATGAAAAAATTTTTTTATTTTTTTTTAAATAAAAGGAATTTTTCGTTTTTTAATTTCATTCTAATTTCGTTTCATCTTAGGTCTCAGCTCTTTGGCAACTTCGGCGCTTTGGAATTTCAGATGGGTTCTTGTTTTTCGTTCTCTTTTTTCGTCTTCACTTTGTTCTAATTTCGTTTAAGTAAATTACAATGATCAAGAAGAAGGATGCTAATAAAAAAATGAAATAACAATGGAATAATGAAAAGTAATAGAAGATGAAAGAGAGTAAAAAAGAGTAATGAGGAGAAATGAGGACGAAAAGAAGTGATGAGAAGATGAAGAGGAGTGATAGGGGATGAAGAGGAGTGATGAGAGATGAAGAGGGGTGATGGGAGACGAAAAGGAGCGATGGGAAGATAAAGAGGAGTGATGGGAAACGAAAAGGAATGATGAGAGACAAAAAGAAATGATAGGAAGTAAACAGGAGAGAAAAAGAAGTTAATGGAAAATGAAAAGATGTAATAGAAAAAATAATGGGAGACGAAAAGGATGGAATAATGAGAAGTAATAGGAGGTGAAAATGATGAGACAATAAATAAAAAAATGATCATGATAGGAGGTTGGATAGCAAAAGATAATGATAGGAAACCAAGTAAAAAATAAAACCATAAAGTAAAAAAAAATAAAGTTAGAAGAAACGAAATATAAAATAGAAACAAAATAAAAAAAAAAATAAATAAAAAATAAAAAACATACCTTTATTAATTGTAGAACCGAAAGAACTAAAAGATCTAAAAAAAAATGAAATAAAATNAAAAAAATAAATAAAAAATAAAAAACATACCTTTATTAATTGTAGAACCGAAAGAACTAAAAGATCTAAAAAAAAATGAAATAAAATTAGTGAAAACCGAAATATGAAACAGAAACAAAATAAAAAAATAAAAAAAATGAGTAAAAAACGAAACGTAAAGTGGAAAACAACTGAACCTTAATTGAAGAACCGAAAGGACTAAAGGACCTAAAAATAATGAAATAGAGTTAGTAAGAAGCAAAGTGTAAGAATGTAAGTTAGAAATAAAAATAAAAGAATAAAAATAAAAATATCTTGAGACCAAAAGAACCAAGGAAACGAACCTGTACTGAAAACTAAAAAAATAAACATGACGCGTCATGTGGCCAATCTGGCCAATCAAAAATATTAAATCTGCCACGTGATCAAAGGCCCAGGCAATTCCCAAAAATTATATTAATTTTAAAACAAGAGTTCATGATTAAAGGGGAGTTAGGACTATAAAATGTAAAATACGTGAAATGTGATTTATTTTGAACTTGTTCATTTCTAATAAATTATGACATTTGAATTTATAATAATATTTTTCAACCATAATTGAGTTAAATTTACATACAATATTTTATATAATTTTAAGAACCCAACATGGATTTTATGTAAATGTGTAAAATATGTCTATGTAGATTTTCTATTTAAAATTTAAAACATATTTCATATAGTTTTAAATAAGTATTATTTAATATTATAAGTTGTAAATTCAGTTTTAATACTTTAGAAAATTATTTATACAATATTTTATAGTTAAACCGTTTTAACGAAATACAAATCACATTGGTAATCACATGAAATTATCCATTTTGATGTAAAACTATTTTTTTTTGGATTATTATCATTTTGTTGATTTTTTGTTTTTCATTCTTGCATCTTATCTTTAGACTCAATTTTTCAATTGATGCCGACGAGTAATTTTACATGTCAGTAAAATGGCATTTCGGTGAAATAGAGTAGGTAAATTTTCATGTCGGTAAAATGGAAGTCAGCAAAATGGCGTCGGTTAATTTCATCATGTCGGTAAAATGGCTGACTGTAAATTGTACTGGAACCAGGATTAAGTGCTGTATCATTAAAAAATGTAATTGCATAAAAATCCTGTTAATCATAAATGTGGTTAAGATATTAGTGTATTCGAAAAGATTGGTTAGAACTCATCTGCTTTAATATTTTAATCAGGTATAAGAAAATGATCGTCATAAAGGGACAATCAAATTAAAAATTATTTAGTAGTGTTACCAACAATGGATTTGTTAAATAAACGTAATCCGAATTTATAAAAGAAGCAGATGCGTTAGATGTAATTGAGCTATAGAAAATTGGACGCATATTTGGATATGTAAGGAGAACGATTTAAGGATAAATTATTTAAAGAAGGTATTAAGGAATTTATTAAAAATATTAAAGAATTCGTATATAAATTTATATGGGTACTAAAGTAATTAAATGGGAAATTAGTCAAGGTATTACTAAACAATGAAACGTATGGATAAAAGTAATAGTTCTATAATTCCACATTATGGGTTGAGTAAATTGTTAAAGATAGGTTTAGTAAAGATGTTTGTGATTATTTGGAAGTTAGGGGAAATTTGTATGATATATATGGTTTTCTTTAGATATTTCGGATTTATGGACATATCATAGATTTACAACGTTTAGGAGTTCTTCAATATGTAGCAAATTATTCAATATTAGATTAGATTTAATTGATAGATAGATACTTTATTGATATGATGTGTACAGTACATTAGTTCAAATGGGAATCGGCAATTGAAAAAAATCAAAATTTCAAAATTTCTAAATTTAATCTCTATTTTAGAATGAGGTCATCGCTAGCTATGAATGACAAATAATTTGTTATGTCTTACGAACGAACATAGATTTTTTGATTATTATTGGTTAATCAAATATCCAACTAAATTTTTACACATTATAAAATTAATGTTTCTTAATAAAATTTATTAATTACAAATAAAAATTACAATTTTTTTTATATTATCAATAACATTATTTTTTTTCATTGACTAGTGATTAAAATTGCATCAAATGATTTGACTATATTATGAGGAAACATTTACTAAAAGGTTTTTAAAATCGATTTTCATACTATTATCAGAATTTTCGTTCTTTGAATTTTTATTTATTTTTTTTTTTTGTAAGGGATTATTTAACATATTATTATGGAATATTTACGATAAATCTATTATTTATTTTAATAAATTTACCATTAAGAACGCCTAATGACGATGGTCCTTGATATGATAGACCTTCATTTATATGATTAATGTTTGAAAGAAACGTAATCTTTGGATATCAGTCCACGCAAATAATAAGGTACCAGAGTCAGTAACAGAAAGAAGAATTCTTTCGCCGCAAAGAAGTATATGTTTATAAAAAATTAGGCAAAAGTTTATGATTTCCATAACATTAAAAGAAATTGATTTCATGACAATATCGTTTAAATAATATTCTAAAGAATATTTAGAAATAAACATTTTGATGGCTAAAAAAAAATATGGTGAAAATTTAGTATAATACTTTTACGATTATTTAGCTAACAAATAATATAATTAGAGATAGGTTTCACTATATTTAATTTGAATACTATTCAAATAAAATATACGTGTATGAGCCAACGTATGGTGTTTGACCATTGACTCAACCGGTTTAATATCTTATATTATTCATAGGGTAATTCGGGAAAAAGCTCTATTATAAGGAATCTTGTTTTTTAATTAAAAAAATGACAATTGAGTACATAGAAAGTGAGTAACGTAGATTGACTAAGTGTAGTTTACAATTAAAAATAAACTTGTGATACTATAATTACTATACTTCTGTATACTATTAATTATTGATTAAAATTTCATTAAATAATAATTTAAAAAAAAAAGTACATATAATGTAAATGAATAGCTATATAAATCCTATTGAAAAAATATGATAACTGAGAAATGATCGTTATGTTTGTAGCAATTTTAACATAGTTCCGAGGGATTCAAACTGAAACTAAAGTTAGTACCTTCAATGATAAAGCAGGTATCACCCTCAAATGGCCCACGACGCGCTGTTTCTAATTCACCAACTGTAGTTGCCAAAAGAAAGTATGCATCATTTGATTTTGTATCAATATCTAACGTTGTTCTGTCGTCGCATGAATGGAATTTTTTATCGCCAGCTACATATTTACCATTAACATCAGTAACCCAAATCATACATTCTCCGCCAGACATATATTCTTTAACTTTAGCATGAGTTCCTAGCAATCAATTAAGTTTTTAATATAAAATTATATAATATTTTGCTTAAAGTTATGCGAACATGTTCAAGATTTCGAGATTTTACCTTCAGTGGCTGGTACAAGAGTCGTAGCAAAAAAAATGATAGCGAGCGTTAAAAAGATATGAAATTTCATTATGCGTCAAATATTTTGATTAAGGGATCGGAGTGATTTCTACAAATTTGTAATTTAATATTAGTTATCAGAAACAATAATAATTAAATATATAAATTTTAAATTAAAATGTCATGATTTAGATACCTGTATGTTTATAATTTCTAACAAGTTTTTAAGAAAGTTTAAAAATTGTAGTTTTTTTTTAATCTTCTAAATTGACGAGAATTCGGGATATATTTATACATATTTTTTTATATGTGATATCTGATATATATTATTGTGATGATTACCAATTTAACTGACAGGTATGGGTTATGATAATTAGAAAATGATCGTCATAAAGGGGACAATCAAAATATATAATTTTTTTTTTTTCCATGATGGAAAATCTAAAGCATATGACAAATTGCCAAGAAAATTCAACCCAATTCAATAAATTTTGATAATCAGATGTACATATAATCAATTAATCTCCTAAATATTAAATAATAGTTATTGGAAAATATCATCGAACGTTCGGATGATATTTTAACTACCATACACAATAACTGTATTATTTGTGTTATTTTTCAGACGTTCAAGATCATGTTCTATATAAAAAGCATAGTAAAATGAGTAAACAATATATATAAATTTTTTCACCCCCACGTGACTTGGGTGGCGCGGTGGCACAATCAGTTTATATTTGTTTATTGTTTATTCGTTACAACAAAACTATTTCTCTCTCCCTTTTTTCTTTTTTTTCTCCCCACTTTTTTCACGTTAAAATATTCTTTAAAAAATCTATTAAACAATAAAAAATTTAAATATTTTTGAAAAGCTAGAGTGTAGAATATTGTTATAAAGCTATAGTTAATTTTTATTTACAATAGACGCGTTTTTTTGTAGATTTTGTGAATATTTTAGCTAAATAAAACAAGGTTTTAGCGCTTGAAGAAAGTTATTTAACAAGTATGTATATTATTTTTGTGAAAATATTGGTGTTTTTTAAAAGAAATTACTGAGTTGTATTTGTTTTTTATTTTGTAGTGTAATTTCAGGACTTTAGTTAAATGTTATAGGTTTAGGTAGCTTAGACTAAGTTGTTTAGCAGGTATGGAACCACTCAAATATAATATTTGCAACAATAAGAATATTTTTTGTATGGAAACTACTGTGCCACACGCGGTTGATTTTTTTCACTTTACAGCGTAATTTTGGTACTTCTGTTATATGAAACAAGCCTTTAGAGATTAAGTAAAGTATTAGCAGATGTAGGATTACTTAAATATTGATTTTTATTAAATTAGCTTTAATATTTATGGAATAATGTACTTGACTCTAAATACCAATAAATATTTATTTGTTTATTAAAATTAAATTTAATAAAGTGAGAAGAATTATTTTCAAATGTATTCATTGTAAAAGTAATAAAATGATTAATACGTTAAAGGGAAAATATCAGTTTTTCTTTTTTTTGAATTTTTCAACTTTTTTTTTCGATTTTTTTTTTTCCTATGATAAAACGCACATCTGAAATGTGTGTCAGGTTGACGGCGCAGTGTGGCGCAGCGATTTTTCCAAAAAAAATTAAATTGCAATTTTTTTTATTTAAAATAAAACCTTTAAATTACTGAACTAGATGTATTTTCGTCCGCTCTACAAATTTACTTAGAGTATATACGGGCGATTTAGAAGGCCATTTTCGAGTTATTTAACAAAAACCGTTTTTTTGACAAATCCAATTTTGGAAATGATCGGCAAAGACGATAAAATCAGTTGTTATATACTAAAGTCAAAATCTACGTCCAAAACCTCCTTCCGTTTATAAGTGAATTTTGTAAAACAGATGAAAATACATCTAATGTGTAAATTTGAAAGCATTACATTAAAAAGAAAATCTTCAACTTAGATTTTTTTGAATTATTGCGCCACACTGCGCCGTCAACCTGACACACATTTCAGACGTGCATGATAAACGTAATAATACATGCGAAATAAACATTGCGCCAATTAAAATTCAGACGCCACAAAATCACGTGGGGGTGGAAAAATTTTATGGCGATACTAGGACCCCGGATAATTATAGTTGAGGTCACATCCGACTATGTTTTAAACTTTATACATTATTTATCTTATAATTTTATTAAGTTAATATTATAAGATAATATAGAAAAAAATGGTTCTTTTAAAGAAAAGAATCTTTTGATACCAAAATTATGCAAATTTACTGATTAAAATTAGAGATAAAGTTGTGTAACAAAGCAAAATTTGGCAAAAAAATATACACTTTTTCACAATCGGTATACATAGAAATATTCAAAAAAATAAAAAACTACATTATTAAATATTACTTTTAAAATTACAAAGTTATAAATAGTAGGAAGGCAACTATTTTATTAAAAATTTACATTTATATCTTTTAAAATAAATTCAAAATGGCAATAATAAATTTTTAAAAATTCTTAACATAGGGGATATGACCTTGATTATAATTGTCCGGGGTCCTGCGATACTGGGGTAGTTCATCACATATACGATTGTCACGTGTTATATATCTTTTCTAATAACCCGACTAGCCGAGTAACCCGAGTACCCGACAATCCCGACAATTAAAATTTTCAAGTGCCCACTATATTTCGAATTTTGCTGTATATCGAACCCGTACTGAATCAACAATCGTTAATAAATCTTACATAGTAAAATGACAAACTTTATATTTCAACATGTATGGTTAGTGAGATCGGTGTTTTTACTTATATGAATTCATTTTATATATGAGATCACTCGTTGATTAATTTCATACAATAAATTGATTATAAATTATCTTCTTTTTTGTTTTATTTATTCACATGCAATTATAATAAAGTGGAGTAAAAAGAAAATAAAAATGAATGAAAGTTAAATATAAAACTTATTTATGGTCCTTTTCATTGATTTGGTGAAAACGGCCACTAGTCAGTTGAAATGCGAACTTCCTTTATGACGATCATTTTCTAATACTTATTAATTATTAAATATTAAAGCAGAACCAATCTTTTCGAATACATTAATCATTTATGATTTCCAGAATTCTTATCCGATCACAAGATTTTTTTAATGTTACAGATAGCCATTTTACCGACATGAAATTAACCGACGTCATTTTGCTGACTTTCATTTTACTGACATGAAAATTTACCTACTCCATTTCACCGAAATGCCATTTTACTGACATGTAAAATTACCCGACTTGCCATTTCACCGAAAAAATTATTAGCTGCGCCTCACTCCTTAATTCAATTGCCCAAATGCAAAAGAAGTTCAACGAACTGATTACAAATTAATTATATATCACCAATCAATTTTAAGGGCTGTAAAATATTTTTTTTTGTTTTTTTATTGATTGATGATTTAAAAAGTGATAAATACAAATATAAATATGTATTTTTTTTTAATTAACTTGTAAAAAAAATAAAATATTTTCACATCGTCAATACTATGTCGATCATGTTGGCAAAATTGCTTTGTCGGTAAGAAGAAAAAATGTGATGTCATGCGGCAAAATGACGTTGGTAAATTTTATGTCGGCGAAATAGGCGTCAGTAAAATGGGTGAATACGGTTAGTGAAATAGACTCTTAATTCATTACTTATAATAATAAAGATAGAAGTGTGCCACCTAATTAATGAAACAAAATGATTATATAAGATAGTTAATATTCAAATCATATTTTGAATTGAAATTATCTTTGTTATCACGTATAATAATTTCTTTATCAGATAAATAAGTTTAAATTTATTAAGTAAAAAATTTAATTAAAAAAAAAAAAATTTTAATATAAAATTCTACTTTGTTTTTATGAATCACAAAAATCTTATTTATAATTCAATCACTGGTATGAGAATACAAATATAGTTTAATTAATCTAACATTATATATACTACTGCCAACCATTAAACTAACTACAACTTTTTTGTATATTGTAATTTTTGGCCTTTAAACAAATCCTTTAATGTAAGAATAAGTAAATTTACTAGTATAAAAATAAATTCACCATCTTAATGAAAGTAATACATTCTGATTGTGAAAAAGACTATATAAAAACTTCACGAGTCAGAATATATTTTAGAATAATCTGGTACTACTCTTCCACTCCTAGTACAATGTTTGCCAAATCCTAAAGAAATACATTTTACTGTAATATTACAATGATGTTGATTTATAACACAAACTCCCAACGGAATTGTATAACTTTTAATAAAATTATATTATCAAAAAGTTGAATATTTGATTGCCTGCATTACAGTATTAATAGAAATAATTTATCAATAAATAATTCTACATTTTTATATATTAAGTATCTTATAAATTATTTATTTTAATATAATTTTACTTTTATTAGTTATTCTTATCTATATAAATAATTTAAGCTATAAAACAATTAAAACAATATTATTCGTTCTCTTTAGCACTTTCTGTTTAGACGCACGGTTAAATTTCCCATTTCCATGCGCACTAGGAATAAGTATAAAGAATTTTGTCTTTCGCAGATAAAGACTTTTAACTGCTAAATTGTTATTAACCCACAAGCAATATGTTACGGATGAGATATTTTTTTGATCATTTCCGTCGTTGCATTCCGTGAGAATGTGAGATGCTATTCTGAGACGTTCCTAACAATGGACATGATCCAGAATGTTTTTCAGGAAACGTAATTACATATGCAGTTCTAGCAGGAGCATTATCATTTTTTCGTAAATATCAGCCTGGGTCAAATAATAAACTTGAAAGAACGATCCTGGCGCTAAATAATGAACTTCAAAAAATGCGTACTGAAAATGAAATGGAGGAACTAATGACGAAGGTGAATCTAACTCACATGATTTATAGCACGTGATAGACAGGTGATTTTTGGCGAACATCGATGAAATTTCTTGGCAAATTTATAGGCCGGATCAAACCAGTGTTGGCCAGTGACCCAAATGACCTCAAATGACTCAAATGACTGGTCACGTGTCATTTGGGTCATTTCAACATTAAATGACAAATGACATAGTCATTTAAAAATTACATAATAATTCTGGCCAGAACTATTCATACAATTTCACTATTTCATGGATAAAATTTTCACATGATATTAGAAGTTCATAATTCTGGCCGGCATCATTAACTTGGCCTGAATTATAAAGCATTAATTTTAAATGACTCAAATGACAAATGACCTAAATGACTAGGTCATTCGAAGGTCATTCGAAGGTCATCTCAAAATGGGCAAATGACCTAGTCATTTGCCATCACTGGATCAAACCGATTGTTGTGTAACCATAGGTCAATATTCCGAGTACAGTAAATAGACTGAAATGTATTGGGTCGAATTCACTGCTATTTTCGACCAGAGAAGAAAAAAAGAGAAGCGTCAATGTACAACATATTGTCTGCGGAAATCGGACTTAGTACTAGCACATTAGCCAGTTTCTTTCGTCATCAAAGGACTCCAAGGACGATTTCAATGGATAAAATAATATCACGGATTGAGAAAGAGGGGAAGAGGTAGATAGTTACGCGAATAATAGCAGTAGTATTATCAATGATGAAGTTAGCAATGGTTAGTATAGGATAGCGGGAAGGAACTGCCATTATTGCATTGCAAACGTCTAGGGGTGGGCAGGCATATTTATACTTTATTCCTCCCTTGAAGCACCTGTTATTTGTTTTATATTTTCGCTTTGCATAGCAACTGGTTCCTTTCCTATATATTACTTTATGAAAAATAAAAAAAGCTTTACTTTGAAAGTGTGCGTGTTATGGGATCACAAATAATTATAAGTTGTATCATAAACTCATGCAAAACCCTCGATATTGCATATAGCAAGGGAAAAATCAAAAAATACTACTATGTTATAACAGAGACAATCAATTAATTCGTTACAATCGGTTGTGTCTCTTTTTTAGGTTATTGTCATCGTGCAGTAAGAATCAACACATTAACAAAAATATTGAAGAATCATATATGTTTTCTAAGATTATTTTCTGAATATTATTTTTATTGCAAGTTTCAATCATCAAGTACAATATGAACTTAATAACAACTATGATAATAGAAATACATCTCGAAGAAATACCAGGCATCTAAGTCTGGCATCTACATATTTTCGTATATCAAGAAATATACTTTATATAAGATATTCTATCAGTAGTAAGTGTTTTCAGTAGCTTGTGTAATTCTACGCAATCTTTCACTTTCATGGATGGCATGATAAAAATATTCATCATTTTTATCCTTTTTTTTGTTCCATATTGTGAACAATAACTTTATCAAGGTGGAGATGGAAATGAGCGTGGTATTCCAATGCGTTCTTGTCCTTTTCCCAAGCACCAATGTTAATAGCATAATATTCTACTGGATAGATCTGTTCTCTGAACTTCCATAAGAATTTTTTTACTACATCTTCAAGGATCATCCTTCAAAAAACACTGTTTACGACTACTATTTTTCTCTCGTTTATATTGAATTAATTGAATTTTTCTTGACATGAGTAAAACTTAAAATTTAATGATCACATTGCTTTTTTTCTTAACAGCGGCGTTAGCGAGATTTTAATCACATGATCCTGCAATAAGGTTACCCGGAAAAGGGGGGATACTTAAGAAATGAGAATAAAAGCACGCTCCAAATTTGACAGCTTCCTCCAGCTGTAAATCTTCTTTCTTAAATTTTTCTCGACATTGACGGAATAGTTCATTCATACGGTCTTCTATCAAATATGGAGACATATAAACAAAGTTTTCTTGTGCTGGCATAACGTATTTTATTCTATACTGGCCTGCATCATCGATCAATACATTGCATATATGTTGATTTAACTGTTTTGCAAGCAAGGGTGTAAAATTATCAATTGAAAGTTTGGGAAAGAACTTGGATGGGAAAATACTAGTAATAGCATCATTAAGATTTTGGACTTTTTTAACCAAACGTAAAGATCTATCAGGTTTCTTTAACTGCTGTTGTACAAATTCAATTGTAAGATCAACGTCACATTCAGAAGAAATACATTCTATAAGATAACGTTCATGATTAAGATCGACCAAAAGAATTCATTATTTTCATGATCAGAAAGTGATAATAATATGACGTGTTGTAAATGTTTGATCGAGGAGATAAAATATTCAACATTTCGTTCATCATAGGAACTCTTCCACCAAGGTTTGTTTAAAATTTCGAAGTTAGAATGTATCATCTAGTATGAAATTATGGTTTTTTTATTTTCTGATTAAATGATTATTGCGGTTATTGAAACTCATTAAGGACTTAAAAATCAACAAAGTATTATAAATATACCTTAAATTTACGACGGGTGACTTCCTTTTCGTTCATATCTTTATTACCTTCTCTTATTTGTTTTGATCTGATCTCTAGTTTTATGTTCCAGAGGAGTCACGAGTATTTCTCTGACATGATCTTGTCTCGATAGTACAACGTATGTTAGTGTTGGTCTCCGTAAATAGCTGTAAGTCCAAAAGCCATGTAAATATAATGTTTGTAACCCAGAATTACCATCTTTTAGCTAACCACTATGTTCTTTCTTGAATCACAACTCTTTCGTCTTCTGCATACCAGTTACACGCAGTTGGTTTTTTAGACTGCTGAGGCACATTGTTTTTCTACAGAGAACCAGCATAACGAGGTCATGTTTATCGCCAGTTCTTTTAGCTAAACATGTTAAAATATTAGTGATTTTGCCTAATAAATAACGTAGAGAGCTACGTGGATACTTACTTGAAATGCAATTTGTATGTGTCGCTAATTTCTTGAGTCAATGATATTCCAGGAGGTGATGGTCTGTATGAACTTCTCATGCTATTAACATATTCCCTAGCTGTAGCTAACACCATATTTTTCTCTTCAACGTTTTTAACTTTAACGTAACAAACCAGTTCTCCGCTGAAATGTGTAGTTGAAATTCCCATTGAGGATGATTCACAGGAACTATTTCTATTCTATACGATTTCTTAAACGCTGCATGCTCTCTGTCATCAATGAAATCTAAACATTTCCTGCCTAGAAACGCTAACGCCTTAGATACACTATCAGGAGTGCCTTCTATATTCTCGATAGTACCAATTTTGACTATTGGTTTATTGTCCCAAGACAACACGTTTTCGATAATATAATTTATTGTCATTTTCTACAGACAAAAAATAAGAAATTTGAGGGTATATATATACGACTCTTGATAGACTCTTGCATAAACTTGTTGTGACGTAATACAGCAAATCATAGTAAAAAAAGTAATTTATATGAAAAAATTGATTAATACGGTTTATCATTACTTATTAGATTTTGATTTTCCGACGAATTCTCGGGGTATTTATTAAAAAAGGTGAATTGATATTAAGGTCGTACGAATGGTCGTCAAAACGTAGAGTGTTGGGATTGGCTTAATATAACGTAATCACGTGCACTATACATTACGTATTTACGTATATACTAGTTGTACTACGTACTGTACGTTTATCAATATCAGATTACGAAATCATAGAAAGTCAACTCTCTCTCCAAATATATAGCTTAGGATCATGATTCCCCAGTACACCATTAATACATATTGTATCGGATCAAACAGATACAGATCAACAATGATGAGATGGAGTCACTGTCCAAAGAAGAAAAAAGAAAAGCGTTCTCTTCACGATTGTATAATATATTATCTGATGAAATCGGACTCAGTCCTAGCACATTGGCCAGCTTTTATCGTCATCAAAGGACTCCGAGAAAAACTTCGATAGACAAAATCAAAATAGGAAAGTTAGTTTGCGAGTAGTAGCAGTAGTATTAGTCATTGACAATGACAAAAACTTAGATAGTAATGCGGAGTAGTGGGAAGGAACTCTCATCATATGGGTTAAGGCTCGAGATGCTTCCTCCCTTGAAACAACCATTGCTATTATTTTTAAAAGCGTACATGTGTTATTTATTAGGCGATGCCTACGAAATACGAAATAAAATACATTGATATAAAAATAAATATAAAATCGGGACGTAAATCACGTAACACAGATGAGTGAAACCACCCGTAGGGTGCATCTATGCTAATATAAATAATAACGCTTCTATACTGCAGAAACTGCGGAAATAAATCATTATTATCCTGGACACGCTGTTTCTTTTTTGGAGGGGGACTTCTTGACGTCAACCCTATCTTTCAATAAATCAACGACAACATCCAAAACTTGTTTCACATATTTTTGTAAGTCCAATTCCTCCTCAAATCCTTCGTTAAAGCGGTCTCGTGATATATAACGGATTTTTATTCGTACACGAGATCCCGTCCAAGCTTTACAACAAAAAATAACACTCATTCGCTGTGGTGACAATTCCGTATAGATAATCGAAATCCTCCCAAACGCCTCATCCGCAGTACGTTTTCCCGGAAAGCACTTTCACATTGGCACCACATTTTGAACGAAACTTATATTGATCACATACTGCTTACTTTCAGTAATACAAACTAACTCTTCGAGAGCCTTGATTACGTAATCGACACGTCCAGTATTCTCTTCGCTAATGACTTCAAATGAAAAATAAAAAAGTTTTACTTTGAATTTTGAACGTGTGCGTGTTTTCTTGTATATGATTTCATAAAATTAACTGTCTTTATTGCACGTGATGAATTTCAGCCGGGGGCCTCGGCCAAAATATTACCAAGAAAAATTTTATTAATACAGATAAAAAATAAATACAAAGACTTGAGTCAACGCTCGTACATGCGGATCAACGTCCGTGATACCAACGACCTTACACATTTTATTTAGTTATATTCTAAAATTATTATCTATTATATTAAAATTTTAGAATAAAATGTATATTTTTTAAAATTCAAAATAGGTAAAATAAATTACTTTTAAAAATATCTGTAAAATTTATTTTATAAAATTGCTATGAATCGAGGCGATTTCGCCGGGTCACGTGAATTTTTAATAATATATAATTCAGTATGAGAAATCCTATTTGTCACCCTTATTCCCCCTATTTTTACTTTAGCTTCTAATTCCTTTGTTCGTTCACTGCTATAGCAACTATGTCTCCATTAGTCAGTTCGTTCTAACGAAGGGTGAGTCCGCCTGTTGGATTTTGTACGTCTAGTTTAGCTGTGTACTTCTATTGTATCTTATAGTCATATTAAACGAGTCTGTAACTAAACGATGTATTCACCTCTTCTAAGTAAAATAAAATAAAATATTGTCACCCTTATTCGTCACATAATATCTTCATAAAAAGAAAAAAACCCCATATTAATCGAAACGATTTTGTGACATTGTAAGAATTAGACTTATTCCTATAAAGCTTGTATTGTAGATAACATCTAATACTTATAATTTGATATTTGATAAAAAATTATTATTAATTCGTAAATGTTTATATTCTAGATTTTTGTGCGCTGCAGTATAGAATAAATTATGTAAGACCGTATCTAACTAGCGTTATTAAGTCAAGTGCTTGTACATCGTCGCGTGCTCGAACGGATATATTTTGTACATATGAATGATCGTGGTTTGGTAAAAATTTTTCTTTCGTTTTTTTTTTATTTTGAAATTTCGTAAAACAATAAATAATTTTTCATTCAATGAATGAAAAATTTATTATAAGAACAAATATAAAATATTTCTAAATCCGATGAAAATTTCTAAAAGAGTTTTAAGAGATTTTTTATCATTTTAAATGATACTTTAAATAAATTAATAAAAAATAATGATAAGAATATTGAATTTATTTGAGAATTTAATAATAAAAAATCATAAAGAAAGTAAAATTTGGTTTTTCTAGTATAATTGGATATATATTTTTATCAGCAAAAGATAAATCAATTGAAATTATATTTATAATGAAAATATTTTAAACCGAAAATTTATAAATTTAAATTTATTGAAAAAAATGTTAATGAATTTGACATATTACAAAAATATTAATATTATTATTGGAAAATATTTATTATCATTTTGTTTTTCATTATAAAGTTATTATTTTAGATATGAGAAACTTTTAATTAGTACGAGCGAATCTATGATTGAATATTTAAAATCTGCAAGTAGAGGTGATCCAATCGCTCAATATATAGTAAATTAGGATATTGTTATTAAAAAGATTATGGTATAAGAACTAAAATAAATATTGAAAATTGGTATAAGCAAGCTTCAAATGATGGATTAGAACTTGCAAATATTGAATTTTTAAAAAAAAAATTGCACCTAAATTTTTGTTTGATAAAAAATGGATTATAGTTTATTATTAAGATTTAATTATTGTAAAATATTGGCGAAATTTAGAAAAATTTCTGATACATATTTATAACGATAATATTCTATTATGAATTTGTTACTATATCTTAATCCAATGTTTGGCGAGATAATTTCTGCGCTTCGAATAGTATATTTACAAAATCATATAATATATAAAATTACAAAATATTTTCACGAAAATTATACTGTAGTTAATCGAGGATATAGTATAGCTTTAGGATAGAAATAGAATAGTATTAGTATTAACTTTGTTAATACATCCATAATTGATATGGAGTTAGTAGATAGTATTTTATACTATGTATTTTTTTTATATATATTATAAATTGTATAATTGAAATAATATAAATAAAAAATGCGCGTTACTAAAAAAAAAATAATAATTTCTGCGCTTCGCCATATTTGTTTTCGTAACTTTTGTAAATTTCTTAAGAAAGTGCTTGGTCATTTTGAAAAGGTTGCAATTTGAAAATTGTGTTGAAACTATAAATTGTTTATAATCCGTCCAAAATCCCGAAACTCAAAATCCCGCTTTGATATTGCACCCTTTGCCCCTTGCAGCGTTGCAGGGTGCCGTCCAAAATCCGAAACTCAAAATCCCGACAGTCAAAAACTATCTTTTGTTTGTATCTCGGAGTGCTTATTTTAGAAAAAAAACAAAAAAAAAACAAAAAACTTGCATGTTGCTGATCCGGTAATGCCGGTTTATTAAACACGACATCTAACCCATTTGACTTCCTTTGTGGGAAGTTCAGTGACTAGGGAACCTAATGTATAAGATACGACCGAGATTAATCAAAATAATTTTATATTATCATTCAGATGGATTTCACGAGTATTATACAGCGTTAAAGGCTTAACATTAATTTAACTTCAAGCTTAATTTTTTATAATGAGTCTATTAAATGTCAAAATCATTATACACTATATATTTTCTATATAACTTTGGTTACTTATAACGGAATTATTAAAAGTCAATAATAAAATGCAAAAATTTAATGTCTTAACTCTTAATTCAAAAAATTACTAATAATCTATTATTGTGTTTTTTATACAGTATATTTTTACGTTGAAAATCACTTCAAAATTATCAACTATTTATTATTTTAAATAATAAAAACAATACGGTACATAATTAAATAAAAAAAAAAATCGATTCATTTAATATTTAATATTTCAATTTTTTTTTTATTGAATTAAAAGAAACTAATTATACTCGGCAAGCCGATTGGTTCTAGGATTTTCAAATACAATATTTGTGGACCCAAAATCAATGTTTCATATACATAAAATATTTTTTTCTAAAATAATATTTATGCAGTAATTATTATTTTGTCCTGTCGTATCACCTATTAACATGATGATAATTTGTGTAGAAAATTCACCAGTGAAACGTAACATCAGTACATGATTTGTTCGATTAATTAAAACTAACAATGACAATTGGTAAATTCAGTTTGAGAAACAATATTTATTGGTATCTAGTTTCAAGCAAAAATTTATTACCTTTTTGCAAACAATGACTTCATTCAAGAAAATATTTCGAAAAATTATAACGCCATCTCAACACAACACATTAAACACTGGGCGGGAATGTGGAGATTTTTATCCCTTTGTTTGTCGATCATGTACAGTAAATTATTTGAAAAAAAAATTTACAAACTGGACCAGTGGAAATGAAATCATTGATAATTTCATTCAAAAAATCCAGATAGATTATCATTTTACATTGGATTTTAGAGTATTTGAGTGGATACCGTACGATCAGTTTAATGACATTAAAATAACAAAAAACCAGGATTCATATTTCGCATCATGGAAGGACGGTCCATTATATAGTGAAATTGTTAGGTAGGTACAAAATTACAACATCATTTTTCAAACTCATTAATGGAAACTCTTGTATAGGGCTAATTACAAGGTTTTTTTATTTTTTCGAATTGTCGCGTTTTTAGTACTGAGTTTATTTTTAAGAGGTATCCAACCAAGAAAGTTATTTTAAGATGTTTAGATAGATCACAAAATATCACCAGTGAATTTCTAAGCAATGAGGTATAATTACTTATGAATTTAATTTTTTTTTAAATATTTTTAATACAATGAATTTTTTTATATTCCAAATAGATTATAGAAAATAATATTAAATCGGTATATGGTATATCTCAACATCCAGATACAAAAGATTATATTTTAGTTTATAATCAATATAATAATTGTGCAGCATGTTTTAAAGTATATATTGATGCTTATTATAATTGGTGTAAATCATGTCAAATAGATTATTTAAAACAAAATTTTATAAACTGGACCAGCGGAAATAAAGATATTGATAATTTCATTCAAGAAATGCAATTAAAAATTAATGAACCAGATGACTTAATAGTTGAATGGATACCATACAGTCAGTTTGATGAAATTAATGTAATTAAGGAAATAGGTAAACAAAACCTTACTACAATGTATTCAGCAATATGGAAGGATGGTCCATTTTATTGGAACGAAGCTGATATGAAATATAAGAGAGGATCAAGTGTGATAGTTGTTTTAAGATGTTTTCATGATTCTAAAGAATTTCTAAATGAGGTATGAGATTATATGATTTAAATACTTACTTTTAACTAATATAAAATATAACAATTATTCATATTCTTTATTCTTCATATTATATATAACAGGCTAAATGTAATGAAATTCATATGTATGGAATGTCTTACAATCTAGATACAAAGGATTATATTTTGGTTTTTAATGACAATTGTTTTGAATTAAAAGGATATTCTATATTTAGTGGAAATGAAAAAATTGATAATTTCATTCAAGAAATGCAATTAAAAATTAATGGACCAAGTGATTTAATGTTTGAGTGGATACCATACAGCCAGTTTGACGGAGTTAAAAAAATAAGTCAACATGGTTTTTTTACAATATATTCAGCAAAATGGAAGGATGGCCCATTAAATTATAATGATGAAGAAAGGAAATATACAAGAGAGCCAGATAAAAATGTTACTTTAAAATACCTACATAACTCACAAAATATTACTAATGAATTTCTAAACGAGGTATAATATTTTCTTTAAATGATTTTATTTTATTTTTTTTTAATTATAATAATTAATTTAACATTTTAATAGGTTAAAAAATATTCAATAAATAGACCTAGTGACATACTTAATATATATGGAATATCTCAAAATTCAGATACCAAAAATTTTATTCTTGTTCTTCAGTTTGAATATGTTGGAGGATATTGTGTAAAATGCGATAAAAATTATTCAGATACAAGATTTAGTTGGTGTAGACCATGTCAAATAAATAATTTAAGAATAAACTACACCAGTGGAAATGAAAAAATTGATAATTTCATTCAAGAAATGCGGTTGAAAATTAATGAATATAATGATACAATATTTGAATGGATACCATACAATCAGTTTAATGAAATTAAAGAAATGAATAATGATAGTTTTTTTACTATATATTCAGCGAAATGGAAAAATGGTCAACTATTTTATAGTTTTAGTAAAGTGGAATATATAAGACATACGAATAAATTTGTTACTTTGAAACGTTTGTATAATTCACAAAATATTAATGATTTTTTTAATGAGGTACTGTGTAATTTTTCTATGAATTCGGTTAAGACAATTCTTTAATATTAATAATTTTTGTTAAATTTTAATAGGTTAAAAAATATTCAATAGATGGGTCCAGCAATAATATACTCAAGATATATGGAATAACTCAAAATTCAGATACGAAAGATTATATTTTAGTTCTTAATTTTGAAGATTTTGAGAAATATTGTGCAAAATGTAATAAATTATATACAGATACGAGGTTTAATTGGTGTAAGCCATGTCAAATAGAATATTTAGAACAAAATTTTATAAACTGGACTAGTGGAAATAAAGAGATTGATAATTTCATTCAAGGAATGCAACTAAAAGTTAATGGTTACAGCAGTGATACAATATTTGAATGGATATCATACAACCAATTTGACAACATTAAAGGAATGGACAAAAATGATCTTAACATAACAAATTTAGCAATATGGAAGGATGGTTCATTATGTTTCGATTATCAGAATAAAAAATGGTCTAGAGTAATGGGAAAAGAAGTTGCATTGAAATATTTTTATAATAATTCACAAAATATTATTGATGAATTATTAAATGAGGTATGAAATTATTCTCTTGGTTTAATATTTTTTTTTATATAATAATCAACTTTAATTTTTATATAGGTCAAAAAATATTCAATAAAGAATTCTAGAGATACTATTAGCATACATGGTATATCTCAAAATACAGATACCAAAGATTATATTTTAGTTTTACAAAATGGATACTGTACAGGATGTGGTGAAAAATATTCTGATGTAACAAATAATTGGTGCAAGCCATGTCAATTAAACAATTTATTCACAAATTGGACTAGTGGAAATGAAAAAATTGATGAATTCATCCAAAAAATGCAATTAAAAATTGATAAACCAAGCGATATAATATTTGAATGGATACCATACAATAAGTTTAATGATATTAAAGAAATAAGCAAAGATGGTTTTACTACGGAGTATTTAGCAATATGGGAGGATGGTCCACTATATTATGATTGCAATAGAAAGGAGTATGCAAGGGATTTAACAACAGATAAAAAAGTTGCTTTAAAATGTTTAGATATCTCACAAAATATAACTGATAAAATTTTAAATAAGGTATTATTTCTAATTTAAATTAATCTTTTTTTTTTTAATATTATAATAATTTTATTTTTCATTTAATAGGCTATAAAAGAATATTCAATTAGAGATGATGATGATACTCTTATAATGTATGGAATATCTCAAAATCTAAGTACAAATAATTACATTATAGTTCTTCATGATAGATATTTTGAAAAGAACTTTGAAGGATATTATTGCATAAGATGTGCAAATATATATACAGATGCACAATATAAATGGTGTTTGCCATGTAAGATAGATTATTTAAAACAAAATTTTACAAATTGGACTAGTAAAAATGTAAGAATTGATAACTTTATTCAAGGAATGCAATTAAAAATTAGTAAATCAAATGATATAGTATTCGAATGGATACCATACAATCAGTTTGAAGAAATTAAAGAAATAGGTAAAGGTGGTTTTGCTATAGTATATTCAGCAATATGGAAGGATGGACCATTACATTATAATTGGAACAAATATACGAGAGAACCAAATCAAAAGGTTGCTTTAAAATGTTTAAATAACTCACAAGATATATCTGATGAATTTCTAAATGAGGTAAATTTCTCTAATATATCTAATTTTTTTAAACATTTTCTCTATAATAATATTTTTTTTTTTACTTCAATAGGTTCAAAATTATTCAACAGAAAAGTATAGTAATAATATTCTTAAAATATATGGAATAACTCAAAATCCAGATACAAAAGATTATATTATGGTTCTTGAATATGCAGATGGAGGAAAATTTTATGATTATTGGATAGATAATGGAAAACATAAGAATTTTAATTGGCATAATAAAATACGAACATTAAATAATATTATTAAGGGACTTAAAGAAATACATCAAAAACAGATGGTTCATTGTGATTTCCATACAGGAAATATATTATTTACTGTATTGCGCAAAAAAACATATATTTCAGATATGGGATTGTGTAGAGAAGTTGGTAATATGAATAAAGCAAAAATTTATGGAGTTATGCCTTATGTAGCTCCTGAAGTATTAAGAGGAAACCCTTATACTCAAGCATCGGACATATATAGCTTTGGTATGATTATGTATATTACAGCAACTGGAAGACAACCTTTTGCTGATCAAGCACATGATAAGGTTTTAGCATTAAACATCTGTAATAAAGCTAGACCTAAAATACATGAGCCAGAAGCACCAAAATGTTATATTGACTTAATGAAAAAGTGTTGGGATTCAAATCCAGACGAAAGACCATGTGCAACTGAAATATATGATCAAATATCTTCTTGGAATCAATATATAAATAATGATTCATTTAAACAAGCAGAAGAATATCGAAAAGCAAATCTTCCTTTTTTTATAGTTGGCCAAGCAACTAATCATCCTCGGGCTATTTATACATCTCAAATACTCAATTCCTTTACGGATGACCTAAAATGTGATGATAGTAATGATAATATTAATAGCGAATGTTTAGACTGTGCAATATAAATAATTTAGAAGTTACTATATGATCATATTTGCAACTCGAATGAAATATTTTTTTTTTACAAGTTGCCTTAGTCCCTGACAGGGCATTCTAAACTGTTCAATGTGAGACAATAACTTAAAATTAGAAACAGGAGTTGTAACTTGTAACTGAATATTTATTGTTATGAATAATACTAATAAATAACTATACATTGTATTAAGAAATGTCAAATTTTGATTGATCATCTATATCTATATCTATATAATATAACACCTAGCCTATGGCGCGCCGATGTGGACAGATTGGTATTTTTTAATACCAACTCCCGCTATTTAAATAATATCAGCTCATGTATTTTAATATTACTGCAAATGGCAGATTTTTGTCTAAAATGGCAATTTCTTTTTGCATTATTAGACAGATTCATATTTATTTATTACGAACTTTCTCTAATTAAATATTACCAACTCTTGTAATTTTAAAATTGGCAGATATTTTTTCTTCAATAGACAGATTTATATTTTTTATTATCCCCTTTTTTTATTAGCAGATCTTTTTTCTTTACCAGACAGATTTATATTTTTTTATTATTAGCTCTGACGATCATTTATATTCATTAGCAGATCTACTAAATCTCACCGCAGGTGATTTCACCGGTCAAATTATAATTCCAGCCAAATTCAATTGTGTAACCTAATAAAAAGTTTTTGATTTTTTTTAGTTACAATGNTATTCATTAGCAGATCTGCTAAATCTCACCGCAGGTGATTTCACCGGTCAAATTATAATTCCAGCCAAATTCAATTGTGTAACCTAATAAAAAGTTTTTGATTTTTTTAGTTACAATAATGTGGTATAAATATTGCACTGATGGATCCGGAAGATACCCGTTTATAAGTAAATATGCAGTTAAATTTGTGTAGCATCACCGAATAAATCACTTTACTTAAGAAATCTATTTCGTAATGGTCAAAAGTGGTCTATTTGACCTTAAAAGTGGCAAAAGTGACCATCAGCTACCTTAATTGATGGTCAAAAGTGGTCTATTTGACCTTAAAAGTGGCAAAAGTGACCATCAGCTACCTTAATTGATGGTCAAAAGTGGTCTATTTGACCCCAGAAAGTGGTCATATAGCACATAGGAATTTTTCGAAAATTTTCTGTTTGGTTATACTAATAATTGGTAGTTAAAGGCGAGGGCATATTTGACCATCAATTAAGGCAGCTGATGGTCACGTTTGACCACTTTTAACCATCAATTAAAGTAGCTGATGGTTACATTTGACCTCTTTTAAGCCAAATAGACTACTTTTGACCACCAATTAAGGCAACTGATGGTCATTTGACTATCAATAAGGTCAAGTTTGACCACTTTTAAGGTCAAATAGACCACTTTTGACCATTACGAAATAGATTTCTTAAGTAAAGTGATTTATGCAGTGAGGCTACACAAAATTTAACTGCATATTTGATTATAAACGGGTATCTTCTGAACTCATTGGTTCAATTTTTATACCACATTGTTACTAAAAAAGTCAAAACTTTTTATTAGGTTGCACAATTAACTCCAGCTGGAATTATAATTTGGCCGGAATAAAATCACCTGCGGTAAGGATCACCTGCGGTGAGATTTAGCGAATAAAAATGATCATCAGAGCTAATAATAAAAAAATACAAATGTGTCTATTAAAGAAAAAAGATCTTCTAATGAAAAAAGGAGGCAATAAAAAAATATAAATCTGTCTATTGAAGAAAAAAGATCTGCCAATTTTAAAATTACAAGAGTTGGTAATATTTAATTAGAGAAATTTGGTATTAAATAAATACAAATCTGTCTAATAATATAAAAAGGAATTGCCATTTTAGGAAAAATCAGTAATTTTAAAATACAAGAGCTAGTATTATTTAAATAGCAGGAGTTGGTATTAATAAAATACCAATCTGTCCACATCGGCGCGCCATAGAATTTGGACAATTTGATCGGTCAACATGATCGGCACATTCCGGGCTGATTACTAATACTGTAATAAATACAAACACTTCGCTAATACTAATAAGTATAGTAGATAAATAAATGTCGATTTTTTTTAGTAATAATAAATAATTCAACTGGGAAAAAATTATTTTCGCCAACAATAGACTGGATTATAAGGTTTTTTTTTTGCTGACAATAGACTTTTTTTTTGCTGACATTTAGTTAATAAATTTTTTTAATAAAAATTTTTTTACAATTGATCGTATTTTGTGATAAAAAAAATTTTTTTTTTTTGTAATCTTAATAAAAAAATTCATTTAGAAGACCTACTTGATCGGTAAGTCATGTTGTACATCTAATCCAATTCCGGTTAATGAAATTTTAAATCAGAATTTTTTTTTCCTTTCGAACCCAATCTACAGTAAATTTTTTCGGTTCCCCTTTGTTTTTTTTCTTGAACTGATCTTTTACTTTCAGTTCTTTCTTTTTTTTTCAAATTTCCTCTTTTCTCTTTCGAAACACCTTTTTCATTTCTTTTTTCATTTCATTTCATTTCTTTTTCAGTTTTTTTTTCCCAAACTGAAAATTTTTTTTGTTTTTTTTTTTTTGTTTTTTAGGCTGTATCAAGTTCGATCGTTATAATTAATATTTCTGGGAATTTTTTTTTTTTCATGACAATAGAAGTTTTTCAGAATTTTTTTTCATATTTAATAATTAGTGAGATAATGTTTTTTCTATAACAATAGATTGCTATAATGAATTTCTTTGAGATATAATAACAAAATATATGTATTTTTTTCAGTAGCAGATGTAATTTTTTTTAATGCTACAATGAAAATTTTTTTAAGATAAAAAAAAGAGATTTTTTTGTAACAATGTAACAATAAACTACTTATACAAAATTATCTTTGTATTTCATACACTGTGCACACAATTCATTGTTATTTGTATAATCATATAAATTGTGTAATTTATTATATTTATTTCCTACTAATACCATCATAATAATAGTAAAAACTAGACCTATTCACACTGCATGGCAAATAAATATAAGTGTGTTCATTATTACTCTCATAGTCTCATCCCCAGCGCAGCGCGACGGTTACGCCTAGTTTTCTATAATATTAACTAGAGTCATACCCTAGGGCCGGCCAGTGACCGGCCTTTACTAAGAGTATGATATATACCATAAATTTTACCACTTATTTGCAGAAACAAAAGTATTGGTAATATAATATATAATTTAATTTTCAATCAATTCAATATCAATATCAATAATATAAAAAATGTACCCTATACTTAGCGCATGAGAGCTAACCAAATTAGTAAAATTTTCCTTCCTTTCCAGGATAGCACGATTAGCATAACAACCAATTACAAGAAATATCACTATTAAAATGAAGATCACCTGATATCATTAACTATATAGCGTGATCTGTATATGGTGTCAATAAGGGCCATCCTTAACCTGATCCACCGGTCCAGATGCTTATTCTGGACCAGTCAACTTTTGATTGGCTAATCAGCCCTTTTATTACATAACTCCGGCATAATTTATTTTATCTCTTACTCTTCCT